GTATATGCTTTGCGAACTTAAAATTTAAGTTCCTGGGGACAGCCAAGAAATTTGTTAGATCGGAGGGCCGGAGGCTTGAGACGCATTCGCGAGGGTAATATACTCTACAGGGAATGGGCCCGAAGGGTAAGTGCATGATGGGTGTGATTAGGGAAGGAGGATTCAAGACCCGGGCCCGCTGTAATTGGACACAGCTGTTGCGGTGTTCCTGCCAACGTTCTTTCTGTTTGTTTGTTTGTTTTTCGGCGAAGCTAATAAACACTTTTGATGGAGGGCGATTTGAGATTGAAGGGTTGGGAGTCTTTACGGTACAAGAGATGGAAGGGGTTTTGAGAGCCTAGGGATGAAGGACTCGAGGCTTGACTAGTTGGAGGAAGGTTAGTTTATGTTTCTGTTACTTCTGTTTCTCTTGATAGTAATGAATTTTTTTTGTAATTTTCTATCTATTCAGCCCTGAGAATGGTTCGTCTTGCAACGGTGGTCATGGAGATGACAGAAGTCCACAGATTTTGGCCAAAGCTGTTCAAGTTCATCCGGAGATGTTGAAAGGAATGTACTTCGCCTGAGGACACTTACGGAGGTTTAACTTGAATAATTTACAGACATTTTGAACATTTATTTTTTAGTAACTTCCTATCATATATAGTCCGCACGGCCGATCGTTATTAACAGCTGAACGAAACTACTAACTCTTTAAGGGTTTACAGTAAGAAAGCTACTTGAGCAGGATGTTTACGAAACGTCATGTACAATCGACGTGATCAGATGAACATAAAAGATCTTTAAGGGATACTAACTTATTAGATTTAGGGGGTACTATGTCTTCAGCAGTGGGATAGTCTTCGTTTAAGTATGCTTCTGGGAAAGGCTTGAATGATTTCCCAAGGGAACTCAGTTCCTTTAGTTTAGATATTTTTTTAGATTTAGACACAAGGTATGGTTGCCCAAAAGTGCCATTGCAATTTCAATTTAATCATGGGAATTTCAGTTTAAGGTGGCTCAATAGGGTTTTTCGGCCGGGCAAAGAATGGGTACGAAAATGGCGCGAGCTTTTAAATGGCATCAAATGTGTAAACAAACATGGCGGCTGCACACGAGTGCACAATTTCTCTCACATAATCGCGAAGTTTACTTGACGAGAGTGAAACGGCATCGATACTTGTATGTATGTATGTATGTATGTAAATCTGGGGCCCCTTCACTGGGGTACTGCACAGAGGAGGTAGCCTTCCCGTAAAACAACGTGTAAATAGTAATAACACCCAGCAACTGTCAATAACCTAGCTAATTTCCCCTGTGTTGGGTCTCCTTCACTGGTGTACTGCACAGCGGGCCCTTTACCGTTAATTCACT